TAAGGGGATTGGTAGTTTGAGAGGATTCATGTAAGATGTTTTAAAAGGTTTGAGTAAGATTTTTCTTGGTTTTGGATGAACTAGCTTCATATTGAGATAAGGCAGTCATATAAGTAAGGTAATAGATTTCATTATTTTTAGAAATATATTTTTCAGTAGAATAGTGGCACTCATTTCTTTTTGTACAACCAATTGAGAGAAAGCATTTAGGACAAGTATAGTAATATATATCAGGTGTAGAAAATGGAGGAACACTGTCAATAAAAAAAGAGAGATTAGTCATAAGTTCTTGAGTTGTTTTGTTAATTTTTTTAGAGTGATTATTGATATGAGCAGTTGTAAATTCAGTAGCTTGAGTATAATTGGTATTTGAGATTGAGATAAATTTGGTATGATATTTGTCACAAAGACAAGTAATTAAAGAAATAGAAGTAGGAGCTTTAAAGAAATATGTAATCTTGTTAGATCTAAGATTTTTTGTTAAGCAAGAGATGGGTTGAACTTTGAAAAAGATTGGGTGGGCCTTGTTGTTGTTATCTTCTTCATAGAGAGCAATTCCAAAACTGTTGGCAAAGTTTTGGTAGAAGTAATCAAGGTCTGCTATATCGGACTCTTATTGACTTAAGGTAAGCATTGTTAAATAGTAATAAGTTAGATAGAGATTTTTTAGATTTGGATATATTTTCTAAGTAGAAAGTATAGTTGTAAAAATCAATTTTACAAGGGTTATAACTAAATGTAAGGGTTATAGTTTAAGAATGTTACTGGAATGACACAAATGTGTAACAGAGATGGATAGGGTCACTAATGTGACTCGGGTACTGAACACAAATAGGATTTACAATACAAATTACTGTATAATATTAATAAGAACTAAATATAGAAATATTGATTGTATGAATGAGTTTCTATTAATAGGTTGGTTACAAAATGTTGGTGTAAATTAATAAGATATGAATTGGGAAGTGATGGTATAGTTACACAAAAACCGTGTAAGGGGAAAAGGGAACAGGATAAGGACAAAAGATAAAAAAGAAGTTTTACAAGAGAGTAAATGTTGGATTTAATTGTAGTTTGGTCAATATTAGCTCAAAAATCTTCATTTAGAGCTTGTTTTGACCGGGTAAATGTATACTACAACTTTATTTAAGAGTATAAAGCAGTTTAAGGCAATAGAAACTACAAGATAATTCAAAGTTGTTAACTGGAGGCCAAAGGCCGTCAGTACAGTTTTCTCAATAAGTTTGAAGTATAAAAGCTTGATATTTGGAGACTAAACTTAAAATTGTGAGCTGAACAAGTTTACTTAGAAGCCCAAGACAGGTTGTCTTAGTAAAATAAATAGTTATAAGCGTTTTTGATGAAGGAATTTTTTAATTGATTTTTGTGCAATGGATTTGCAGAAAGAGTTTGATTATCAATAGCATACAATTTGCTACACGTGTAACTTTTTTATATTACCTATTTAAAGAGTTCACCTAAAGGTTCTCTACCAATTGTTATATCTAACACTCCTGCTTAGATGTTTCACTTTAAACTCTCTGAATCTATAACCTGTATTAAGATTACTGGTCATCTTTGATGTACCAGATTATCATCCTCAACCTTAGGACTAATTTATCCTCAAGATAAACTCTCTAGAGCCTTCTGTACCCATTTTTACAGCTGACCTAGGTATCACTATAACAGAACCAACATTTGCAGTCAGGGCTAACCATTAAACTACTATGTCCTTGTAGAGTTTACTTAGACCCTAGCATCTACTTTACAGCATAATTCTGGTACTTTAGTATACCTCTGTCTTTTGTTTAGTCTTTTTACCAAACTCTCAATTCAGATAGCCTGTGTAGGACTATGACCAATTCATCGATATATTAGGTCAGCCCGATATCCTTTTTCTTCAGTTCGTTCTAGTGGTTTGGTTGATGATACCTCTGAGTCTCTCAACCCAGAGGTTCTTGTCTGTCTGGCTACTATGACCAGGTACTATAATCTTAGTATCCATTTCTTCAAGCTAGCCTTTACAGTAGGATTGTCAAAGATCTAACTATCTCTCTACTTAGGTCTTCCCAAATGGATTTCTTGTTACTCAATTTCAACAGATTTATACAGTCACAAGACTTATCTAGTATTTGCACTGCCCAATTTGTCAGTTTGCATTCCTCTGTGTAATACCATACTTACACAGATGCCCTATAATCTGCCAGTTATGCTGGTGTAAGCACCATTACAGGTATCCTAACCCAATTGTTAATAACAATTGCTATAATATGAATATTACATAGGTGATTATCCAAATTTTTATCGTCAATAGGATTTGAACATCCAACCTACCAATTGGGGGGTTGACAACCTGATCACTTCACTAGGTTGCCATACTTCTATTTATAATATTATAAATTTTATTATTAATTAATTAAAACTAAAAAAGATTTAAGGGTGTAGCGACCTAGTAAAGTAGATAGATTGTCAACCCCCAAGTGGCAGCTCTAGAGTTCAAATCCTAGTGATAGTGAAAATTTGCAATTCTTTCTGTGTTATGACTAACTGTCTTCCATGATTGATTAGGATAAGATACCTGTAACCTGTATCATATCAGCATAACTGGAAGGTCTAAGGCACTCATACAACATTGTATAAAGGACCACAAACTGGTACCAAGCAGTGTGAACCTAAGATAAGTTCTTAGGTCATGTAAATCAAGGAAACCAGATAGGAAGATGAAAGCCCACTTATAAGACCTGAGTAGAGAGATAACCCGAACCTTCGATGATGCTACTGTTAAGACTACACTTATGAAACAAAGCTAAAATTTGTGAAACCAGACAAATGTGCTGGTCTTTATAGAGGAACCAGATGAACCAACCAGGCTACCGAAATTTTCAGATTCCAGAGAAAAAGGGTACATGCTGGCAAACATGTGAACCAGAGATGTATAGTTTTGACCTATCTTTTTGAGCTATCTGAAATGACAGCTTAATAAAACTTGAATTGAATACCAAAGTAGTAAGGATATATTGTGAAGTTAGTATCAGGGTTGAGGTGAATTCTACAAGAGCATAGCAGTTTAATGGTATGCCTTAACTGCCAGTGTTGGTCTCGATCATAACGATATCAGGTCAGTTATAAGAATAGAATACAGAAGATTCTGAAAGGTTTAATACAAGATTAAAAGTTCCCTATATGAGTGAACTGCTTTAAAGACTTAATGACCATAACATAGTTGAACTAGTATCGACCAGGGCATCTTGGTAAATGTAGGTAAATGAATGAATATGAGAACAAAATGATTAAATAGAAAATCTACAAGTGGGTTCCAGGTATGACAGCTAGTGTAGAACCTTCGAGCGGACTACTTAAATTAAACAATGACTAAAGTTAAAAAAATGACTAGTTGTACACTCTTTCCATAATTGCCCCCTGTGGTTGTAATGCAACCATTAGCTGAATGTACTATCAATAAAATCCTAGGTCACAAGTACTCACCTTAATATTTAAAAAAAAAAAAAAACTAAAAAAGGTTTATTAGTAGCATATATCCTCATCTTAATACCAAAAAAAAAAAAAAATTAGTAACATGTATCAAATTTAAATGAAAAATTAATATAAACACCAAAAATGCATGTATAACTAATTGTACCTTCTATATAAAAAAACCTTTAAAGACATTTATTTGAATAAAAACATCATTTCTCAAAAAAAAAAAACTTAAAAAAAAAAAATCCAAATAAAAATAATCTTTACTTCTTATCCTTACCTTAAAAATTTTTTAAACATTACTCAAATTTTTGTTTCAAACTTGCTCATCTCTTAAGTTCATTAGGTTCTTTTCAAACCCTTTTAGAATTCTTGCTTTCTTTTGATCTTTACATACTTTATCAATTCTATCAACCGGTTACCCGATTCTCGACTGGTTGTACCAGATCAACCAATTAAAAATTTGCTCAACCAGCTATCCGAAATTTATTCGGGTCGGTTAACCGATTATAGCCCAACCGTCCAAATCACTAGTTGATATTATGAAGGTCAACTCTTTAGTAGACCCCACGCTGAGAGGTTAAATCGTGAAAAGAAGTGCACATGTATGCACTTTTACGGTAAATGAAATGAAATGACTTTACGTAGACATCATCCCTTTTGTGCTTTTATCACTTGCATAAAAACTTCTATATATAGATAGAAATAATACATTAAGAACAAACGTACATAGCAATTATTACTGAACCGCTAATGAGAATGACAAATTTTAGCTTATGTTGAATAGTATATAGAGTATATTTTTTAGACTTGTTGCTCCGTACATATGTACAATGCAGGAAACCTAAAGCTTCAATCAGCTTATGTCGAATAAAAGATAACTCATTGGGGATGTCATTCTCAATAGCGGCTTCAGTAGTACACTATGATGTTCGATATATGTAGAATTAAAGGTTTAGTTGAAGGTTAGGATGAGAATATTATAAGTAAATCACTCGCATTTTCGAATTTATAACCGAATAATCATTCTGAAGAAAAAGTTTTCATGAGAGATCACAAAACTTGCCACTATTAAACTTAAAATATAAAGACACTTATTTACCAGGAAAACAGAGTGTTACAAACAGTCATGTCTTATCACATATGTGGACAATATGATGCCACTCCAAATTATGGAAAATGTACAACACTGACTAGTACTACGTAGTACAAGTAGCAGATTATCTATGTCGATACATCGATAAATTTTGTATCACAAATAATATAAAATTTATATCTTTCTTAGTAAATAAATAATAACGTGCATGATGATAATGATAACGATAAATGTTCAACGTTGTTTTCTTCAATTGGTTATATGTTGAACTATTTATATTGGCAATACATTACCAAAAAGGAAAAAAACCCGAATTTTTTTTTTTTTTTTAAAATGACTCATTTTTAATCTTAGTGCAAGAAATTTACGAGTTGTTCTCTTTCGGCTTGGTCTTTGTATAGCTGCTTTGTCAATTAAATTTTGAAACATGACCCCAAATGATATGATCTCTAATCAAGAAACTTTGCCCTGGGTTGTGCAGAAGTTTGGCGGAACCAGCATAGGGAAATTTTTAGACAGCATCGCGGGCACAATCGTAAAGTTTGTATACACATTTTGTTTATTGATAAAGTCAAGAAATTTATTTTTAATGACGTGATTAAATATTTTTAATTATTTAGATCCCACTTGGAAAAATGCCAAGTTGCACTTGTTTGTTCTGCTCGAAGCGGTGATACAAAATCAAAAGGAACAACTAATAAGTGAGTTTTGAGTAATCTATATATTATCAATCCTATACTAGAAATGACGTGATCTTCAATTTTCAAAGGTTACTTAAAGCGTCTGAAGAAGCATTAACGCCAGGTTCAAAAGAATACCTTAAAATAGTTGATGAAATTGCGCAAGAACATATCAATGCGTCGAGGGAATTGATCAGCAATTCAGAAATTCTCAATGAATTAGAAAAGCAATTACTGCGTGATTGTTCAAAGTTGAAAAGCTTTTTGGAAGCGGCCCAAGTATGTTTTTATTTTAATTTTACCTTCATTTATTTTCATTCATCTTTTTCTAATCATTATTTTTAGATCATTGAAGAGATATCCCCTCGTTCAAAAGATATCATCATTAGTGTTGGTGAAAAGTTATCTTGTCGCATTGTCGCATCAGTATTAAGGGACAAGGTATTTATTTCTTACTCATTTAAAAATTTTGTCTCAGATTTAGAATTCTTAAATATTATATGATTTTATATTATAGGGAGTTAATGCCGAATTCATAAATCTCAGTAACGTCATTGAACAAGAATTCGATGCAAACTGTCTTGATCAAAAGTTTTATGACTATTTGGCTCAAAGAATTGCGGAAACCGTTAAAAAATGTGGTAATCGTATACCAGTCATTACAGGTAATGTGTCTTTTTTATTCAATAAACTAGTTTACATATGCATGCATTTCATAATTAAAATTTATAAATTTTTATAGGATTTTTTGGGACTGTACCTGGCAGCCTTCTAAATAATATTGGCCGTGGTTACACGGATTTATGTGCCGCACTTCTTGCTGTTGGAATTGGTGCCAAGGAACTTCAAATTTGGAAAGAAGTCGATGGTATCTTTACTGCTGATCCTCGTAAAGTGAAACATGCACGACTTCTTCCCATCATTACTCCTGAAGAAGCAGCTGAGTTAACTTATTATGGTTCCGAGGTTATACATCCGTTTACCATGGAACAAGTCATGCGTTTTAATATTCCAATTCGGATGAAGAATGTTATGAATCCATTAGGAAAAGGAACTGTCATCTCTCCCGATACTTCTTTCAAAAATGGTTCATTAACACGCCTTAATTTTTCTGAGCTTCTACATCAAAATGGTTATCATCGAGATATGTCAAGGAAACATCCTACAGCTGTTACTATTAAGAATAACATTATTGTCCTTAACATTCACTCTAATAGAAAAACTATGAGTCACGGATTTTTCAAACAAATATTTGCGGCGCTAGATGATTATGGGATTGTAGTTGATTTGATTTCAACAAGTGAGGTTCATGTTTCTATGGCTCTCGGTGCTGAGATCGTAGAGCGTGACTTGCAGAGAGCATTGGATGATTTAAGAAAATTAGGCGAGGTAAAATTTCGTATGATATATAATTATCATATATTTTTATCTCTTATATGATCTGATTAAGTTAAAAACTTTTATAGGTTGATGTGATTGAAAATATGGCAATTCTGAGTTTAGTTGGAAAGCAAATGAAAAATATGGTAGGTATTGCGGGCAAGATGTTTACCACACTGGCTGAAGCAAATGTGAACATTGAGATGATATCGCAAGGTGCATCAGAAATTAACATTTCTTGTGTTGTTGATGAGTTTAATGCGGAAAAGGCGTTAAATGTTATACATGAACAACTTTTGAATCTATCACCATTATTATCAGCTGATGGACTATTTAGATAATAAAAAAAGTAATAATTAGAATAATTAATAAGTTAGGTCGGTTTATATATTATTCGACCCAAAAGTAATTAACAATTAGATCCTATAAAAGTATAATTATTAAAGTTTTAATTTTCACATTGTAATTATTAGCAATTAAAGTTAAGATTTCTAGCTATTGATTCTAATCAACGAATCGATGTACTATCCTTTTTGATATCCAATTTAATATAAATCAAAAAAAAGACAATTAGTATTGAATTTATAGGCACAAGTTTTTTTGTTTGGCGATGTCATGTGTATAGGAAATTTTGAAGTCTATAAAAAAAGTGTTCCTGCTTAAGCTGATATTAGTATATCGATATGTAATTACAGAATTAGTATGATAAACACACTTTAGCCAAAATTAAAAGGATTAACTTTCGTTATTCCAAAGATTTGTGTCTCTGACACTTTAATGGTATTTCGTGAAACGATTGTTTTTTTTTAATTATCTTACTTTGCACACATGAAATTCGAAACATTTATTCATTATTTTTATTAACCATTGCTCTTTAAAAGTTAAAGAATACATAATATTGCTATCAGAATACATACTAGCATTATCAGAATCGCTTTTAATGAAACACATGATGGTTTAAAATTTTTTATTGTAAGATAATATAAAAAACTCGTGTAACAATATAAAATAATTATCCAATCAAAACGAATTTCTATCATGCTACTACGCATACCAACTATAAATTAATAATAATACGACATGGTTGCGAAATAGTGAAAGCCGCTTTGATCATTACATGAGGGTGAAATCTATTTTTATTTATTTATTTATTTTTTATTAATATAATATCAAGTAGGAAAAATAATAATACATGAATATATCAATTAGATATAATGTATAATTAGAAAATTATTTCTAATCTACATTATTGTTACTATATATGTTTAACTACATTTGTGTGATATTATTCTCTTATTTTCTGTTATTCGTTAAATCAACTATTGTTAATATTTAATTACAAAATGAATAAAAAAAACCTTTAGGATTGTTAAATTAATAAAAACAAGTATATATAGTAAAATTTTGAGAAGAGTTTTGAAAATAAAGAATTCTATATTGGTATTGAAGATAAAAATAACATTATTTAAGTTGGATAATTTTAAGAAAATGAATATTGTTTTTCTTTTTTACTAAGATAGTAATTTCTTATGTTGGTTTCTATTTATGTTGTTTAATATTTTGAGTTTATTATATAGCAAAATTGAATCAGTTTAGCAATAAATTTGATAAAGAAATAAGAAACTTATTAGTTAATTTTTTTAAAATGATTTGTAATTGTTTATAATAGTTCAGAGTTAATATTCTCTGAATAAATAATAATAATATATTGTTTGTATTATTGTGTATAATGATGTTTCTAATAAGATTAATGAGTCTAGAGTATTAGTTATTTTGTTAATAAGAATATTATACAAATTATATGAATAAAAAGAATATTATAATAGATGTTCAGTATTTTTATATTAGATACAATATAAGTAGTAGAAAATAGTAATCCTTATATAGTAATTGGATTAACATTCTTAAAGTGACAGATTTAAGAATTAAATCTTATTTATAATAAAATTTGAAAATTAACTTATATTATAGAAACTGTCTTTTATTAATTGATTGGTCTTATATGGCTATAATCCAGATACACCAAATCAGGTTCTATTCATTATTAAAAACTTGGAGCATTTATTTAAAGTACAATATTATATATATATAAAGAAATATTAATAACTGATATTGTATAAAACTTTGATACAAATATATAATAAAATTACTAGATGTAGAAGACTAAGAAATTGAGAAGACAGAATCTTATTTAAAAATTACTAAATAAAGAGATAATACAAATTTTCAAAATACTGTTGAACTGATAAAAGTTTATAAAACATCTTTATAGAAATAAGCAGATTAACTGAATGACAAAAATATGTAAAAAAACATATGATCAAACAGGTTATTAGAATTATTAAAGAAAAAGAATACTAAAGTATATTATACTAAGCTAGCTGAATTAAAAGTTTGAAAAGTCTATTAGTTCTGAGTTGCAATTAATAGAAGATAATAAAGATGATATTAAAAAGATAGGTACTAAAGTTTGATAAATTTTACAAAAATAAAAATAGTATAACATAGTAGTTTAAGGATAGAGTATGCAATTTTCAAATTATATATAAAACTTTTGATAAATTTTTATTTAATTAAAAATAGAAAAATATTTTCTTAAGTAAACA